CTGGTCGTCGGGCGCACGAATGGGGGGGGTGGGGCGTAACTGGTCGTCGGGCGCACATTCGTGCGCGGCACAGCCGGCGGTCTGCCACACGTGTGGAACCGCCCGGACGGCGTCCGCTTGCAAGTATGCTAACTACTGTTTCCGCTAACAAGCCACCCCCGTCAGAACGAACAACAAAGACCAAAGTGGGTCGCTGGTCAGGTCGTCGGGCTGCAATAGCAATAGCAGGAGTAGATTTAATTTGAAATTTGAACACAATTTGATTTTGTCTTTACGCCGTTGAACTTGATCTTGGGCATAAAGTCCTCTGGGACATCCGTTAGAAAGAGTGGAACGATACAGAGAGAGAAGATTAGCATGGCCCCTGCTGCGCAAGTATGGTGCGCAAAAAGACGACCTTCGGCATAAGCTGTTGGAGACAACAGCAGGGGTATAGGATGAAATTTTACCTGGGGTCCTGCGCACAATTTGTCAGCTTCGAGTCCGCTTTATGATGTCAGAATGGACTCGCTCCTGATGAGAGATTTGAAGCAGGTTTTTTTTTTTTTTTTTTTTTTTTTTTACAATTTCAAGCAGTTGAACTCAGTGGGCTTGCTTTCTTTTTTTTTTTCTTTTTTTTTCGAGTTCTAAATTTTATTTTTTTTTTAATTAAAATTTAAAATTTAAAAGGCTGGAAACCGGGTCCACAGCTTGGCAGCATCCCTTTACAATAGATACCCGCTCATGGTTCCCTTTTTTATGGCCAAGGCCCACGGAACCTTGGGATGGTGGCATTGATTACTATCATTACTTCCTCTTTTTTTTTTTTTTTCCCCGTTTGCACGCGCTTGGTCAAATCTCTCTTCAGTTTTACTTTCAGAGCACTGGGCAGAAATCACCAAAAAAATGAAACATTTGAACCATTTTTTGATTTATGAGTGTCATCCGTGAGTGCGGAGGGGCCATGCTAATCTTCGTTTTCTGTATCGGCCCAATTTTAACAGACGTCCCGAAGGGGGACTATAAATAGTATAAAGTACTCTAAACTAGTATAAAGTGGCATATTGCCATGTACCCTTTTTGTTTTTTTTTGTTTTTTTTTTGCTTGAGGTTGGTGACATATATTCATGTCTCCTCCCCAAAAAAAAAAAAAAAAAAAGAATCATGTCCCCAAGGACCATAAAAAACCCTGAGTTACTATGATGAAGGGATTTCACATCATTTCAGGCAATGGGATCTCCATGGTTAAGGGCTGAATAGTTTGGACAGGCAGTGATACATTTGCGGGCACTACCGTCTTCACCCCAATAGAACGCCCGGTCATTATCGCTGCATTTGGACTGAAACTTGTCCCAAATACGTGCAGCTATAATGACCGGGCGTTCTATTCTGGTGAAGACAGACGGGCATTGACTGAGTCCACGGTAAGCCATGCAAATTCGAAGAACATGAGGCAGTTCAGGCTGCGCATTGACTAGCACTCTGCAGGCAAGAGAGTATGTACAGCTCAGCTCCTCTTGCAGTGGGTATAGGTAGTATGGTCCTGAGCTCTTTTTCCTTTTTTTTTTTTTTTTTGTTGGGTGTTGCATACTTCGATGAGTATGGGCAGAACCAAAGATCAACCAATATAGGATGAGCATGTATGCAGCGGAAGTCTGATAAACGGACTGACTCACATAGCATCACTCCTCACACATACAATCGTGAGATGGTGGGGTCTGAGCCATACAGAGAAGATGCTCAGCCCCGTACACAACATACACAGATGAATGGGGGAGGAGAGACGAAGGAGGTGGGGCAGGTAGACAGCACTGAAAGTCACCGAGATAGAAATCTGATAGGTCACCGATATGGTAGTCCAAAATGTCATCCAACAAGATCAAAATGTCGAGGACCATAGGTCACCAATGTCGGAGATACAGAGTCCAAATGTAACCGGTGTCCGAACTGTGATGTCGCCAAGTATCAACCCCAACGATCTCCAAGTCTCCAATCCGGTAAGTACCACAGTCTCCTATCACCGAAGTCCAACTCTGATCTCTGTCCAACTAGTATAGTCTCCAATCTGAAGAAGAAGAAGAAGAAGAAAAAGATGAAGAAGGAGGAGGAGGAGGAGAGAGAGAGAGAGAGAGAGAGAGGACTGACGAGGGAGGGAGGAGAGGTCCTCCGGCATCCCAGGTACCTCAGGCGGCAATGGCCGCCGTACTGGCTCAGTCGCCCTGCTGCTGCTCCGCTTGCCGCTGCGCTAATGCTGCGCTGCCGCTGCTGCTCCTCGCTCGCTCCTACGCTATATTAGTGCAACAAAACAGCGCTCTGGCGCTGACCATACCGTACCGGTATAGTGCCGGTAGGTCGATGCTTCCAAGTGAGGCTGTACCGGTACTTTATACCGGTGGGGCAGAGCCCGGCCTCAATGCTGCGAGGCCTGGCCATGCCCTGAACCGTCCAGATGGACGGTTCAGCCCCAACCGGCGGGCGGCAGCCTCAAGAGCGCCGCCAGGCCCAAACGATAATGCCGTTTGGGCCTGCCCGTCGGGTACTGGTCCAAGATCAGGCCCTGAGGGCCTGTAATACCCCAAGGTCGGGCCTTTAGGCCCTGATGT